CGGGCGGGGCCCCACACGTCCAGGTGGAGAGTCTGCAGGGGAGCCACTGTGGGAGGGAACGAGGAGGAGTGAGGAGCGGCGCGCTGCCGCCCCTCGACACAAGGAAGACAGGGAGGAGCAGGCGAGGGTGGGAGGGGAGGGAGAACCCTGGGAAGACCAGACACAAGGTACCGGGAGTGCATGCCGCGAAGGCGCTGCACTGACGGGTGACCAAGGCGGTGGTTCCAGAGAACAGTCCTGTGCGACAGGGAGCGACACGAGCAGGGGGCCGACAGCTGACCTGACGCAGATGCAGACGCAGCTACCTGAGGTGACTCAGTGGTTAGTGTCTACAAGTCCGACCCCGGCTGCCGAGTGAAGTTAGCCAGGTGACGACCCGTCTGGGCACACGTGCAGTGCGTCACACGCTCGTAGGTAGGGATGAACTGGTGAACACCCGCGTCCTGGAGTGCAGAACCCACCACCAAGTTTGTAGAGAACGAGGGGAGGTAAAGGCTCGACAGCGTGCCAGACGGGACAGCAGGACAAGGGAGGGCAGTGGTGGAGGTCGCAAGGACCGGACCCCCTGAGGGGTCAGCCAAGGAGACAGCAACCGGTCTAGGAAGCTGCTCTAGGGCAGTGCGGTCGCGAAAGAAACAGCGGGAAGCACCTGAGTCCAGTGTGAAGGTGTGCAGTGCCTCAGTAGACGCGGTAACAGCAGACGCAGATGCACTAGCACCTAGGGCAGTAGCCTCACCAGGACCTAGAGCAGCAGACGCACGAGCACCTAGAGCTGCAGCCTCACTGGTCCCAATACCCGGGTCGGGCGGTACACGCAGGTAACAGTCACCCTCAACACTAACAGTCAATGCATACATAGCAGCAAGGATAGCATCATAATCAAGAGCAAAGATATCAATCCCCTTCTTAAGCAGATCAGCCCAGCGGGGCAGCTCAGAGGCGTCAGAAAACTGCTCGCGCCAGGCGTCATCGAGGCGAAAGAAACAGTGCTGCGCCATGTGAAATCTCCCACAGGTCTGGCCAGTGCGGTCACCTATGCGAATGACGTACGGGCAGGTACCTCCACCCCCAGACTCCCCACGCTGAGAGTACCACTCACAGAGCTGCTGGGGCGACTGGGTCTCGCTGGGACGCTGCTGCTGCTGCCTCTGGCTGTCGCCGAACCCGCCACGCTGCACCGCTCCACCGCGCCCTCCACCAGCTCCACCGCCGCCACCACTGCCACCACCACCCCCGCCACCTCCACCACCGCCGCCTCCACCACTCCCGGCTCCGTCACTGCCCCCCCCACCACCAGCACCACTCCCACCACCGCCGCCACTGCCGCCGCCCCCTCCACCCCCTCCACCACCACCTCCCCCGCCACCACCTCCGCCACCCCGGCCCCCCTTGCCCCTGCCGCCCTTGCGCCTCCCACTGGGAGCGAACGCAGCTCCGACCCCCTCAGCACCTAGGAAGTCGACAGCAGCAGCAGATGCAATAGAGGGGAGAAGGGGGGAGGGGGAACATCCCTCAAAGAAGGGAGTGCGAGGGTCGTCACGAGAGGCACCTACAGCTACAATGCTCTTCTCAGCTGCAAGGAGTTCCTTCTCGAGCAGGTCGACAGTGAGGTCTGTGGGGGAGAGAGCAAGAAAGTGGTCCCTGACAGCGCGAAGAGAGTCAAGGAGGCCAGTGACTAGGTGGTAGAGGGTGGGGTACATCGGGGGAGGGTTCTTGGCTAGGAAATCGGGGGGGAGCGCGGCACGGTAGCGGAGATCACTAGTACGGAGGTGAAGATGAGGTCAGCTACAGTGGCAAAGGCAGACAAATTCGGGAAGAGATAGGGTAGCGAGAGACGGCCTATCGCAGCAGTAGCAGGGGAGGAGTAGCGTGCAAATACAGCATCATACAGCTCCTTAGCGGTCTTATGCTGGCCAAAGTGCTCGCGCTCATCTAACGGCAGGTGACTGCGAACGGCTAGGCGAGCATGAGTGTCACGAGTCTGCCACTGTGAGCGAGCAGTATTGTCAGCCGTAGCAGCAGGTGCGGGAGCAGCGCCGAACGTGTGGTCATATAGGGAAACGTCGTCCTTGGCAGTGATCTGGAGGAACAGGTGTAGGTGATCGAGCTAGACATCAAACTTAATCGGTCGGCCCTCAGCGTCAAAAGTGAGAACAGTGGGCTGGCCATAGTGGCAGTAGCAGTAGCAGCAGTAGCAGTTCTAGCAGTAGCAGTTCTAGCAGTAGCAGTAGCAGTAGTAGGAGTAGCAGGAACAGGAGTAGTAGTTGCTGTAGGTGGGGCGGCGCGCCTCGGTCAGGGCGGCGCGATTCGGGCGGCGCGACTCGGGCGGCGCGGCTCGGGCAGGGCGGCGCGGCGCGGCACGGACTAGGCTACGCGGCACGGCGCGACGGTAGGCCTGCGCGCGGGCGGCGGCTTACGAGGGCGACGCGGCGGCCTACGGGCGGGGCTGCGGCGCTCTGGACGGCCAGGAGGGTCGGTCGACGGGCGGCTAGCGGGCTGCTCGTGGCGGCGCTGGTCGCGCGGGCGGCTAAGGGTCGGCGTGCGCACAGAAAAGGCCGCGTTCGGGCTGCTAGCGGGCTACGCGCGCTAAAAAAAAAGGCCGCGCGCGACACTAGCGAGCTGCGCACTGGCAGTAGGAGGAGAGGCGCAGGAGGGCGCACTAGGAGAGAGGCGCTCGAGGGCGCTAAGTCGATACGGCGCTCGAGGGCGCTTCTAGCGGTGGACCCTTAGGTAAGTGGTCCTAGGTCTAGAACCTAAGCTCTTAATACCATGTCAGAAACAAGAAGTGGTTGGACTAGCAAGATTGGGAGTACAAGTAGGAAACCGTGGAATATTGTACCCCCTAAGGCTAAACCCACTGTAGCCTACAGAACAACAACATATACAATGTTTGACAGTTGTGACATCCGTCGATAGTGTCTTCACTGTTGCCTGTAGTGCTGCCATTTGAGAAAAGATTTTGTTCAACTTCTCCTGATCCATGAGTCGCACGCTTCGTTTAAATGGCAGAAGGGTATTAGTGGCCTATCAGGCAAGAAGAAAACAAAAATTATCAGAGTCGGGCAGGTTAGAATAAACGAACCCTGCAGCCAACCGTTTTGCAGTCTCCTTTACCAGCCACACCCGTGCCTCCAAACTACCATAGAAAAGCGAGGTGAACTAGGAAAATAGCTCTGATACCAGGTGTTATGAGTTGTAAAAGAGAGTGCGCGGTATTATGAATAACGGAGGTGTGACTAAATGAACAGACAATACAATGAAAGGCACACGCTAATATAGTGGGTCAAGCTACCGTAGCTAGGCGGGAATTTCGGGAATGCGATGTTGGGTGCAGGTTGGGCAAAGGAAAGCCGAAGGCGACGCGGGGTTGCTTCGGCACCAAGCAAAGTGGCCGAACGTGCACTTCCGAAAGTTGGGGTTGTACGCCGCTGAGTAAAAGGTTTTTTCCTTACAGTATTGCTGGTACCGTATTCTCCCGGACATAACACCCTAGGGTATAGCTAAAAATACAGGGAAAAAATGGGGGGGGTCTTCTCATAGGAAAAGAATACATAATACCCGGGTCTTTACATATGGCATATTTTGGTGTTAGTGTTTTTTAATTAGTCATTGTGGGTGTTTTGCTGGTCGTTTTAGCATCACTGCCTGAGGCGCGAATGTCAGTTACGGCCTCGAACTTCATCGCCCTCACGAAAATGCCATGTGACACCTCTCTTGCCACTTGCAACGGAAGATTCACCTGCACGTGGCAATAGAGAAATAGTGGGAGGGGGCAAATCTCGGCAGATTGCCTTTGAATGTACCGCGAAATTTCATTGAGGGAGAAATTCACACGATATTCTTCCGTATTGGAGCTACTCGTTAACGACCATAATAATGAATCCGCAAGAAAAGGGGGGTGTTATAGAAAATCAGCCAAAAAGGGGGGTATAGTAGAAACGAGGTCTATCATAACACCCACCCCGCACAAGCTACCCGGGGGTGTACAATTATGGGGGGGTGTTTTGTCCGGGAGTATACGGTAAGAGTAGTGTTAAGATGAATATAGGCTGCATAGCCATTCAATTTAATGTGTAAGCATGAATTATTGCTTTGGGCTTTGGGGCGAAAACATGGACTAGGTCCCGATACAAGCGCAACTGGGCTGGGCGGTATACGCGGCGACAATTAACGAGAAGAATGCGCGAGACTGCGTGAGTATTCACGAGCGGCTGTATGAGTTACCTGGTACACTCTTCTACGAAAGCCCCCAATCTCACATCCAACTCCTCATCATCCCCTGACAAACCAGCGAGGTTTTCGGAGGCAAATCCAGCTGTCATTTTTCCCTCCATTTCCTGCTCCCACCCAAAATCTCACACGCGTTTAGACGACATCTCATTCGCCCCCTTTTTCTTTCGCAGTCCCTCGCGTTCCGCTGCGCTCTTGTTTCGCCGCCCACTCTTTCCGCCGCCTCTCGTTCCGCCGACCTCCGTACATGGCGCCGGAGCTTCCGCCCGCGCAGTCGGAGTACGAAGCTGCGCGGAAGCAGCGGATTCAGGAGAACCAGAAGCGAATGGCGGTGAGTCGCTCCCGAGTGGACCACTTCTTCGTCGCCCGCGGCATGCGAAATGCACGTGCTCGCACATCAAGCTACTGCTGCCGCGTCGCGTGGCGACGACGTTACGCGCCTTTGTTCGGAACCTGAGCATTAGGTTCGAAACCAACACGTTGCCTCGCTAGTGCCAGGGAGGGAACACGGAAGGACGGCGGGGTCAGGAGGCTCGGTTATTCCGAGGTTCATCGTGCAGTGGAAAGTCTTTTTGAGGCGTCCAGAAGTCGGACTTTCCGAGAGTGAGTGGCAGCATGAGTGCTCCTCGCTCCGTCACCAGCACTCGTGATGACCCATGATGGGACGCGTGTGAGGCGTTTGAGTCGGACGCATTGTGCTGTGCTGCCCCGTACTGGCGCCTCGCAAAATGGCGCCTCGAAAAATGGCGCCTCGCAAATGGCGCCTTGCGATGGCGCGTCACACGCGCGCTCACCAAGACACCCTTCTCACACGACTGGAAGCATGGGGGTACCCGTTGCCGTACCCGCCTAGAGACCAACGTTTCTCCCTTCTGCCCACGTTACCTCACTCTTTCCCCTTCCCCGCCCGCCTTTCCTCCCTCCTCGCTGCCATCCGTGCTGCTGTGAATCCTGGAGGCCTCCAGAGCGACCGAGCCGGTGCAGGGCTTCCACCTCGTCCGTTCCCTTTTCTGCCCCTCATACCGCGCGCTTTTCCCTTTCCTCTTTCCCTTTTCTGCCCCTCATACCGCGCGCTTTCCCCTTTCCTCTTTCCCTTTTCTGCCCCTCATACCGCGCGCTTTCCCCTTTCCTCTTCCCCTTTTCTGCCCCTCATACCGCGCGCTTTCCCCTTTCCTCTTTCCCTTTTCTGCCCCTCATACCGCGCGCTTTTCCCTTTCCTCTTTCCCTTTTCTGCCCCTCATACCGCGCGCTTTCCCCTTTCCTCTTTCCCTTTTCTGCCCCTCATAACGCGCGCTTTCCCGTTTCCTCTTTCCCTTTTCTGTCCCTCATACCGCACGCTTTCCCCTTTCCTCTTTCCCTTTTCTGCCCCCCCATACCTCGTGCTTTCCCCTTTCCGTTTTCCCTTTTCTGCCCCTCATACCGCGCGCCGCTTTCCCCTTTCCTCTTTCCCTTTTCTGCCCCTCATACCACGCGCGCGCTTTTCCCTTTCCTCTTTCCCTTTTCTGCCCCTCATGCCGCACGCTTTCCCCTTTCCTCTTTCCGTTTTCTGCCCCTCATACTGCGCGCTTTCCCCTTTCCTCTTTCCCTTTTCTGCCCCTCATACCGGGCGCTCGCTTTTCCCTTTCCTCTTTCCCTTTTCTACCCCTCATACTGCGTGCTTTCCCCTTTCCTCTTTCCCTTTTCTGCCCCTCATACCGCGCGCTTTCCCCTTTCCTCTTTCCCTTTTCTGCCCCTCATACCGCGCGCTTTCCCCTTTCCTCTTTCCCTTTTCTGCCCCTCATACCGCGCGCTTTCCCCTTTCCTCTTTCCGTTTTCTGCCCCTCATACCGCGCGCTTTCCCGTTTCCTCTTTCCCTTTTCTGCCCCTCATACCGCACGCTTTCCCCTTTCCTCTTTCCCTTTTCTGCCCCCCATACCTCGCGCTTTCCCCTTTTCGTTTTCCCTTTTCTGCCCCTCATACCGCGCGCCGCTTTCCCCTTTCCTCTTTCCCTTTTCTGCCCCTCATACCGCGCGCTTTCCCCTTTCCTCTTTCCCTTTTCTGCCCCTCATACTGCGCGCTTTCCCCTTTCCTCTTTCCCTTTTCTGCCCCTCATACCGCGCGCTTTTCCCTTTCCTCTTTCCCTTCTCTGCCCCTCATACCGCGCGCTTTCCCCTTTCCTCTTTCCCTTTTCTGCCCCTCATACCGCGCGCTTTCCCGTTTCCTCTTTCCCTTTTCTGTCCCTCATACCGCACGCTTTCCCCTTTCCTCTTTTCCTTCTCTGCCCGTCATACCGCGCGCTTTTCCCTTTCCTCTTTCCCTTTTCTGCCCCTCATACCGCGCGCTTTCCCCTTTCCTCTTTCCCTTTTCTGCCCCTCATACCGCGCGCTTTCCCCTTTCCTCTTTCCCTTTTCTGCCCCTCATACCGCGCGCTTTCCCCTTTCCTCTTTCCCTTTTCTGCCCCTCATACTGCGCACTTTCCCCTTTCCTCTTTCCCTTTTCTGTCCCTCATACCGCACGCTTTCCCCTTTCCGTTTTCCCTTTTCTGCCCCTCTTACCGCGCGCTTTCCCCTTTCCTCTTTCCCTTTTCTGCCCCTCACACTGCGTGCTTTCCCCTCTCCTCTTTCCCTTTTCTGCCTCTCATACTGCGCGCTTTCCCCTTTCCTCTTTCCCTTTTCTGCCCCTCATACCGCGCGCTTTCCTCCTTCCCCTCCCCTTTTTACCGAGCTGGAAGCCTCGAGCATCTAAGTGTGTGCCCCTCCTCCACCTCGCCCTCTCCCTTTTCTCCCCTGTCGCCTCCTGCTTTTCCCTCCCCTTGACCGACCTGGAATCCTCAAGCCACAAAGCCTGTGCCCCGCCTCCACCTCGCCCGCTCCCTTTTCCCTGGCGCCTCTCCTGCTTTCGAAATGCCTCAAATTCTTCTCCCTTCTCCTCCGCATACCTCGCCTCGCACTTTTTCCTGTCCCCTTTCCCCTTACCCCTCCCCCTGCCACCTCTCCTTCTGTTTCTCCCTCCTTGTGTTTCCATCCCGTGCTGCTGGGGGGGGAATGGAGGACGCTTCAGGCGCCTAAGCCTGTGCCGGGCTTCTATGTGCTTTCCCCTTCCTCTTTTCGTTCATTTCGTGTTCTCACCCCTCCCACCCCTCCCGCCACTCCCAACCCTTTCACATATACCTCCAGGCGTCGGGTGTCAGGCATTGATCAAGCCCCGAGCGAGAAATCCTTTGTCTTCGCCCTTTCTCCCCCCCCTCTCACAACACCTTCTCAGCTCACTCCCACCTCCAGCCCCTCCCACCCTTCCCATCCCCCCCCAAATTCTCCTTGCCTGCCTGCGGCCATCAGGAGCTGGACATACTGCACGCCTCAAGTGACCAAGCCTCTCGCGGCCTTTGCTTGCTGCTTCCTTCTCTCAAATGGTCCGTTGTATTAATTCAGCAGGGGTACAGACATGCAGTTCTATCCATGACAACCTCAATCCCATAAGCCCATCAACTCACCCCTCTTCCCCTCCCCTCCCCCCCTGAGTGACCCTCTAGCCTTCCAGCGTGTGGAGGATGTCCCCCAGGTGCAGCGACCAGGGGTCTGCTGCCATCTGGGGGTGTGCTGCCTCAATCCCAGCCCTGGCCTTGGTGTGCAGGGCGTTCGCCTGGGAGCGCTGGAGGGCCACTGACCAGCGCTGGCTGAAGTGGCAGGCCATCTTCTTGGCGGATTTCGCCAAGGGGCTGGCCCTGAAGCGGTTCCTAGCTGCTGCTGTGGCCAGCAGTTTCAGGAACGCCGTCGTGGGGGGCGCGTTTGCCCCATAGGTCTCGACGGCCAGGGCGCAGAACACCACGTGCTCAGTGTGTCGGTAGTAGTCCCTCTCCTTCCGCTTCTGTGCCTTCCTTCTCTCCCTCTCTCTTCACCCCCTCCCACCCCTCCCACCCCCCACCACCTCCCACCCCTCCCACCCCTCCCACCCATCCCTCCACCCCCACCACCTCCACCTCCCACTCCTCCCACCCCTCCCACCCCTCCCACCCCTCCCTCACCTCCCTGTGCCCATCAGGAGCTGGTCATACTGTAGGAGGCTTTAAGAGAGCTGTCCTCTTGTGCTCTTTGCTCGCTGCCTCCTTCTCTTCCTCTCTCATCCGCACCTCCCTCCCTCCCTCCCATCACTACCACCCACCCTCGCATCCCTCCCGCCACCTCCAACCGCCTTCCACCCCTCCCAACCCCTCTCTGCGGCCATCAGGAGCTGGGCATACTGGAGGCATCGAGGGATCTGTCCGCCTCGCAGGAGAGCAAGCCCGCTGTGAGTGCCTTCCCGCTGTGAGTGCCTTCCCGCTCCGTTGAGTTGATACTCAGCTTCGGAGGAACACTGTGGTTAGAATTCGAGAGACGAAAATGTCAATCGCTGGTGGGTAGGTCAATCGCTGGTGAATGTGTCAATATTGTTGATTAGTTGCTCGCACCATTAGGGACAAGACCAGCCACCCGGTTCAATATGTTGGTCAAATCAACTCTATTGAAACTCAATCTCCTCCCTCCTTCCCTCCCTACTTCCCTCCCTCCCTCCCTCCCTCCCTCCCTCCCTCCCTCCCTCCCTCCCTCCCTCCCTCCCTCCCTCCCTCCCTCCCTCCCTCCCTCCCTCCCTCCCTCCCTCCCTCCCTCCCATCCGCACCCCATCCGCACCCCATCCGCACCCCATTCGCACCCCTCCTCAACCCTCCCCACCGCGCCAGACCCCGCGCAGCGAGGTGAGGAGGGCACCGAGGCAGCGGGAGCTGCTGCTGCCACAACGCAAGTCAGCTCGCATGGCGGCCAAGGGGGAACGACCAAGATACGTTGAGGAGGTAGGTGGATGGCAACGGAAGGGGGGTGGATGGAACCGGAGGGTGAGAGTAAAGGGGGGAATGGGTAAGGCACAAGGCGCAACCATGTGGGATAGCAGTGCCGCTGGGATGCCAGTAACGCTGCCACAGCGCATGTCTCCTCGTATGGTAGCCAAGGGGGCACGACACGACACGACCGAGACGAGATATGCTGAGGAGGTGAGCAGGAATGTGGAGAAGCGGGTTATGCGTCAAGGCACAGTTACCACAGGAGATGCCAAGTGTGTTGTGAGGAGTTTCAAGAGAGCAAGGGGCGTCAGCACACTTCTGACCAATGTGGTTGTTCTGGGTCAATCCTCTTTGTGCTTTGACAGGTGTAGTTGTTCCAAGGTGTACAAGCTGAGGTGGTAGGGAGTAGAATGAGTGGTAATCTCTAACAATGTGAGGCTGTGATGCGTCAATCTTTAGTGCATGACTTAAATACTGCAGCAGTGTACCGGGTGGGTGGCACGAGGTGGTCTCAGACTCTGTCGTGCGAGTGTTGAGCTAGAATCTTGCAAGAGCTTTGTTTCCATATTCCTTGCAGGCAACATGTGTGATGACGATTCTCCTTTTCCAAACAAATGTTCAGTAATCGACACACGCAATGCAACCCTTGCATTGCATTACACCCATCCTTTTCTCCATTTCTGCTTTCTCCTGCCTCCTGCTGCATCCTTCACAGGTTGAAGTCAAGCCAATGGCTCGTTCAAGGTGAGTCTTGTAACTGCAAGTTTGCGAACCTCTAACTAAAAAAAAAACCATGGTATGCACCATGAGGAGCATGTCATGTGTCACATGTGGTAGACATGAAAAGCATGCCCACGTTGGACTTTTGAGTCGACTCAAAGGGAGCCTGGCATGTCATGTGTGCAAGGGACAATATAAATTCAATAGACATGGGCAGGATGGCCAGTTTTGGCTACGTGTATGGAGAAGTTGTTTTGGGACGTCTCAAAACACTTCTTCATTCAATAGACATGGGCAACATGGCCAGTTTTGTCTCGGCTCGTCTCGACCTGAGTAGAGCCTTAAAATGTTCAGGATCTCAGATCGATTTGAGCCTAGTCGATCCGGCTGGAGGAGTCACACTCGAATTGCAGTGTTGGCTTGACTCAACAAATTTGTTGAGCCGAGGGTAGTTGGTAGGCAGAGTCAAGCCCAGGGCGGTTGGTAGGCAGAGTCGAGCCCAGGGCGGCTGGTAGGCAGAAAGTTGAGCCGAGGGCCGCTGGACGAACACGTAGATTCGAATTGGAGCCTTTGATCGGGCTCGACGCTGCCGACCAGCCGTTTTTGTTCAATTGTAGAATACCAAGAGCTCGAGCAGTTTCTGTTTCCTCTTTATTCCTCTTCATCCTTCCTTATCATCATTATTATAATTATCTTTCTTTCTTACTTTCTTTCTTTCTTCCGTTCTTTCTTTTTATCTTTCTTTCTTTCTTTCTTTTGTTTTCCTCGTTTCTTTTGTTCCACTTTTACCTATCGCTTCCGCATCTAAAACCTTGCAGTTATCCTGTCTTCTGTCTTGATTATTCTTGCAATAGAAATCTGAAACAATACACTCTGTGCACTATGGTATGGAGCGTTAATGACTAGGACAAAACCTAGGATGTAGGGCACGCACGAGGCCTCCAACTCCAGCGCACTCGAATTGCGTGCATTTGAGTTTTAGGTCTGGCTTAAGCGTATGGTAGCAGTACTTTTAACAAACAGCAGGACACAACACACTGACCAAACTCTGATTCGATTCGAGCCAAGCCCCAGGTCGACCATCTGAGCAGCGGGTCGACCATCTGAGCAGCGGGTCGACCATCTGAGCAGCGGGTCGACCATCTGAGCAGCGGTCGACCATCTGAGCAGCGGGTCGACCATCTAAGCAGCGGGTCGACCATCTGAGCAGCGGGTCGACCATCTGAGCAGCGGGTCGACCATCTGAGCAGCGGGTCGACCATCTGAGCAGCGGGTCGACCATCTGAGCAGCGGGTCGACCATCTGAGCAGCGGGTCGACCATCTGAGCAGCGGGTCGACCATCTGAGCAGCGGGTCGACCATCTGAGCAGCGGGTCGACCATCTGAGCAGCGGGTCGACCATCTGAGCAGCGGGTCGACCATCTGAGCAGCGGGTCGACCATCTGAGCAGCGGGTCGACCATCTGAGCAGCGGGTCGACCATCTGAGCAGCGGGTCGACCATCTGAGCAGCGGGTCGACCATCTGAGCAGCGGGTCGACCATCTGAGGAACGGGTCGACCATCTGAGCAGCGGGTCGACCATCTGAGCAGCGGGTCGACCATCTGAGCAGCGGGTCGACCATCTGAGCAGCGGGTCGACCATCTGAGCAGCGGGTCGACTGTGAGAGGACGTCCCCGTTATAATATTTTCTCACTATTATATTTTTCCGTTATCCTATTCTCCCTTTTCTCCTCTTTATTTTGGTCTTTATCTCATCTCAATCGGCCTACTATTCTATTTTCTAGAGCCTTCTATTTATTTCTCTTATTTCCTACTTTTCCCACCGACATACCTATTATACGGCACCGACAGCGCCGACAGTAGTGTATACGGTGTAATCTGGGCGTAATCCCAAGTGCCAATAGCCTTGCGTGCTTGTGCGCACTTGTGATTATAGGATCGGGAAGGGCGTGTTCCAGAAGGTTCGTTTTATCTCGATTATCCTTGTATTCTCCGAGTATAAAAATGCCTTGTATTTAGTTTTAGTGACAAGTTTCGATTGAGAATTCGATCCTGTGACACTTGGTAATTAGAGCCGTTCTCACTCGACAACTCTCGGCTAAGCAGCGGTCGCGGAAAAAATCGCCTCGAAAAACCGCCGGGGGCGACCAATTCGACGCCGATTTCTGGTAAGCACCAGTTCCGCACTTTTCGAATTAACCCCCTCGCGTGGTTTCTGAACAGGATGGTTTCACCGGCGACCAACGACGTTACGCAGCAGCTCTTCGCGCAAATCGCCAAGATGGAAGCGGAGATGCGAGCGATGACTGAACGGTCGCGATTGGAGAACGAGCAGTTGCGAAACGAACTGCAGCGCGTTACGCAACTCCTCTCGACTAGAAACATTCCTGCTTCGACGACTTCGTAGCAGTCGCAGCGTCATTTCGAGGTTCCGAAACTTCGCTCGCCGGAATCGTTCGACCCTAGCGATCGAAAATCCGACGTCAGGCGGTGGCTTGCGACGATGGAAATTTATTTCGCGGCGATTGGATGGTCGACGACGGAGTACGACGGCGAGAAAGTTCGTCTCGCGACAACGTTGATGCGCGGTCCAGCTCTCGAGTGGCTCGGAAGCAACAGTAGCATTTTCCAGGGCGAAGCCACGTGGTAGCAGTTCCGGGCAGACCTTCTCAAACGTTTTGAGCCGATTAATTCCACTTATATTGCGCGCGAAAAATTACATCACCATAGGCAATTCGGGAGTGTCGCGCAATACACGCAGCAGATGGAGGAATTTTATAATCGGATTCCCGACATTACCGAGGGCGAAAAAATTCAGTCCTACATCGCGGGGCTGAAAACCGACATTCGGCGCCAGGTTGCAGCAGCGAATTGCAGCAGCTACAGCGAAATCGTATCGGTCGCGGAGCGTTTTGACTTGGTCAACTCCGGAACACGACGGCCCCACGTCGTCGGATCACGACAAGGGGATCGCTCGGCTTCAACCACGTTCGCCGACCCCATGGAAGTCGACAAATTCGACGCGAATTCACGACCTGCAAAAAACAAAACGATTTGTGAATTTTGCGGCGGAAACGGACATCGGATTGTCGACTGTTTTCACATGAAATCAGCACGTGCGGCATTCCGAGCTCGTGGGAGTGGCGAAACTAAAGACAAAAAGTCAAAAAACGGATCTCGCCAGTGATTGCGGATCGGGCTGGCGAGGAAAAGCAGATCCGAAAGCGTCAGCGCAATCTGGACCGAATCGAAATTGAAGGACAGCATTGGGCGCGAGATTTGGAGAATCAAGGGCGAAATCCCAAGCCCCTTGACCGAAATTTGTCAGAGGAATTCGCCGAGGAAAAGAAAACCTCCGCGAAAACAGACTCGACCAAGACAGGATCTCTCCAATTCGACCCCGGAAAAAAACAGAATTCGTTAAAGTTATCTTTCAAAGATGTTTTAATGAAGACTGGCGATTTTCGCGGGTCCGGAGCCATAAACAAATTCCGGGAAGAACTCCAGAGGAAGCAGACAATTAAAGAAGTGGTACCGGTGCCTACGGAGCTGGGGAAAAAAATAAGGAGTGTGGAAAGGAGTAGACCTTTTCACGGCGTCAACGTCCTCTCCCGGAACCAGCCCAAGACGACTCTCCACTCCCCAGGGAAGAAGTCTATGGAGCTGAAGCAGCTGAAGAGGCAGCTGTGAGTTCAAAAGAAGCTGCAGAAACTCCTCCAGGATGCATCCAGTGGATCGCAGGCGTCGACCGGATCCACCCCCTCAGGGTCAACCTGTACGGTTACTACCTCTACTCCTGGCGTTGGAGAGGAGCCTTTCTCCACGCAGCCCAGGCCAGCCAGTTGTCTAGGAGAAAACAGTGGAACCACGGTGTGTACTGAATATATGGATGTACCCTATGATCCTATTAATGAGACTATTTTTGGGTACTCCGAGCAACGCTCACCACTCCTGCTCGAGGTGATTTGCAACGGACAGCGCCTCCAAGCACTCGTGGACAGCGGGGCGTCGCACAGCGTCTATGACAAAAAGGCAATCGATCGACTCGGAAGTGACATCAAGTTCTCAAGCTTCTCTGCAACGATGGTGGATGGCAGTAAGCTACCTATGTACGGGGAAACACGGTTGCTACTCCAGATTGGACCCCTTCGATGGAAGCCTGCTCTCCCCGTCACAAATATCAAAGGACTCGACGTAATCTTCGGGAGAGACTTTCTTAAAAAGTTCAACCCCGAGATCAACTGGGTTAACCGGACGGCCAACATCAACAACAACGGGAGGAAATTC